AGCTTTACATCAAGAAGTAATTATATATCAAAAAAGCATCCCAGCCCAGCCACACTGAAGTCTGTAAGTCTGATACTAGTCCATATGGACACAGCCACATGCAATGATGCAGATGCAGGGAGGTCATAGGCTGGTGGGTGTATAGTCGTGTGGATCCAAGGTCAGTAGAAACATGACAGGGCTCCAGTAGCTCTACGGGTCAGTAGCAGAGAATCCCAGCAAGCATGAAGGCAAAGGGGCAGAAATAGGAGGAGGTGCCCAGGGTCCTCTTTATGAGAAGGCCACAGCTGTCCTCGAGGAGACAGCATCAGGCTGTGACTTGATTGACAGGTCTGACTGTACCCCTAGCCAGAAGTGTCTAGTTGACAGAAAACCGCCTAATGCCCACACAACCCAGCCACTCCCTGGAAGAAAATGTGCTCACCTAGAGCCCTCTGGTGCTATTCTAGGAGTACTGGGACACCGTGACTGGAATGGATGGGATGGGGCGGGGGTGTTCCGGTGGCATGAACACAGCTGGTTTCTGGGATGTGCACATTCGTCACTTGGCAAAGGCGTCTGCCCAGTTCCTCCTCTGTCAAAGTGCCATGCCCCTTTACCTCCCCTCTCATCCACATTGCCATTGAGTCATTCTGACTCCGAGTGATGGGATGGGAACAGGGTGGGACTGTCCCTCTGGGTTTCTGGGACTGTAGCTTCTTATAGGAGTAGAGAGCCTCAGCTTTCTCCTTCAGAGTGGCTGGTGGTTTGGGATCTACGGGCCTTGCAGTTAGCCCACTGCAACACCTGGGCTCCCCTTCCTACACTTGTCTTTGGAAACCAGTCATTATCAAGGTGGTGGGGAAGACGTTTCCGTCTCCTGGAGGGCTCACTGGATTACCAGAACAGTCCTTTGGGGTTGAGGAAGAGTGAGATCTATAAAGAAAACAGTGTGGGTGACAGTATGGTACCTGGTGCATCTGAGCAAGGGTAGCTTAGGTTAAGGTGACCAGATTTAAAGCGGGACACCATTGACGGGGGGCAGGCGGCGGAGGGGGGGGTGTTCTTGATTAAAATTTTGGTTTATATGATCCAAATAGACCGTTCCCTAGCTTGTCGTGCATTCTTTCCAAAAATTGGGACTTTTTAAAAACGCCAAAAAGCAGGACGTCTGGTCACCTTAGCTTATGTCCCCATCACCACCATCATCCCCATCACCACCACCATCATCATCATCATCATCACACTATCATCGCCACCACCACAAACATCAACATCACCACCATTATCATCATCATCATATCATTACTTGTTGTTGTCTAAAACCATAAGGATTGGAGGAAGGCTTATTAACAACCTTCAGTATGCAGATGACACACCTTGCTTGCGGAAAGTGAGGAGGACTTGAGGCACTGCTGATGGAGATCAAGGATTTTCGTCTTCAGTATGGACTACAGCTCAATGTAAAGAAGACCCAAATCCTCACAATGGAACCCTTCGGCATCATGATAAACGAAAAAACAGAAACGATGGAAGCTGTCAACACTCACTGAAGCAGCAGTCAAGAAATCAAAGGATGTATTGCCTTGGGCAAATCTGCTGCACGCCACCTCTTTAAAGTGTCAAAAAACAAGGAGGTTAGTTTGAGGACTAAGGTGCGCCTGACCCAAGCCATGGTATTTTCATTCACCTCATATGCTTGCAGAGGGGCCTTCGTGGCAGAGTGGGGTACATGTTGGATGGCTAACCAAAAGATCGCCAGGTACCGCCAGCTGCTCAGCAAGAGAAGCATGAGATTTTCTACAGGGAGCCCTGGTGGCATGGTGAGTGGTTGGAAACCACCAGCCACTCTGAGTGAGAAAGGTGAGGCTTTCTACTCCCGTCGAGAGTTAGTCTTGGAAACCCACAGGGCCAGTTATGCCCAGTCCTATGGGGCCACTGTGATTCAGCATTGACTCAGGGGCATATGCATGTAGAAGCAGGACAAGAATGAGACCTCAGGGTGGCTGGGCCCTGCAAATGGGGGAGGTCCTGTAGGGCAGGAAGGTGACCTCAGAGGTCAAAGGGGGAGCAGGGACGTCAGGCTGGTGTCAAGGCAGGTCTCTAGGAAATCATCTTGGACTGACGGTAGAGATGCACCTTCCCTCACTGCTTCAACCATGACTCGCTCTCTGCTCAGTGTGACTGACTTGGAGGCTGTGTCCTCTGTGTGACAGGTAGGAATGTCTGGCTTTGAGTGCCACCCTGAGGCCTTGTGGTCACCGAGAGCTCACGCCGTGTCCTTCCTGGAACTCCCTCTGCCAACAAGCTCTTACTCACTTTTCAGACACAGGAAGCCCAAGGAGTATCTGGGAATTCCAGTGGTTCCAACCCAGGGTCATTTGTCCCCTCTCGCAGGGGACCTTTGAGGATGTCTGGAGACATGTTTCGGTTGTCAAGACTAAGAATGCTGCTAGCATCCAATGGATTGAGGCCACGAATGCTGCTCAATGCCCCACAATGTGCAGAAGTGACAGGGAATTACCCAATCCATCAAGATCCATAAGAGGAGGCCCATTGGCATTGTAGGGGAAGCGCTGGATTGCTAACCTCAGGGTCGTTGGTTCAAACCCACTAGCTACTCCACAGGCAAAAGTTGAGGCTGCCTGCTGGGAATTGCCTTGATGACAGTGAGTTGGGGTTGGGGTTTTAATGTCTTGTTGTTGTTCTTGTAGTTAGGAACCATCGAGTCAGTTCTGACCCACAGCGACCCTATGTACGCAAAACCCTGCCCGGTGTTGAGCCATCCTCACAATTGTTCCTCTGCTTCAGCCATTGTTGCAGCCACAGTGTCCATCATGCATAGACTTCCTCTTGTTCTCAGTCCAGGGGGAGCCCTGAGGATGCAGTGGTGGGGTACTGCTAACCAGAAGGTTGGCAGGTGGACTCCACCAGCTCGGCATTGACTAGAGGGCATTGACATGTTGACGGAAGGAGCCCTGGTGGTGTGTGGGTAAACGCTGAGCGGCCAATCAAAAGGTCAGTGGTTCAAACCCACCGGTAGCTCTATGGGGGAAAGACCCAGTGATCTGAACAAAGAGCGTTTCTTATCCAGGCTGCCCTGTGGCCATTGAGTTGGTTTCCGACTCCTAGAGCCCCCATAGGACTTCCTAGGCTGTCATCTTTTCTGGAGCAAATTCCCAGCCAGATCTTTCTTCCGAGGCACCAGTGAGTGCGTTCAAACCTCGGACTCTTCGGTTAGCATCCAATTACTCAATTACTGTGCCAGCAGGGCGCCGGCCCATCACCAGTCAACCCAAACCTACTGCCGGTGAGTTGAGACCGACCCTTAATGACTCTATAGGACAGAGTAGAACTGCCCGTGGGGTCTGCGAAGGGGTAAACCTTGATGTGAGCGGCCTCTCTCTCTTCTGCAGAGCAGCTGGAGGGTTCAAACCTGTGGGTCGGCAACCCAGTGCTTAACTCACTACATCACCAGCCCCATCCACCCACCCTTCCCCCCCGCCAATACCCGTTGCCGAACTTTCCATCCCAGATGCATTTTGAAGGGACTGGGTTTGGAGAGAGCTTTTTGGGCTAGGAGACATGCCTGAGCCTTTGGTGAGAGAGGCTGGGCTCATTTCTGCTAACTGACCAATCGCCCCTCCTGGGGGGTGGGGGAAGGAACTCGCAGGGCTGGGGTGCCTAGCAGTATCTCGGCATCAAACCAAAACTGCATGCCAGTTGCCTTCAAGTCGATTTTGACTCATCGTGGCCCCCACATGTGTCAGAATAGAACTGCCCTGTGGGGTTTTCAAAGGCTGCAGCGGCCATTCAGGATGTGCCCAGGCACATCTGAGCAGGTCCAAACTGCCAAGCCTTTACTCAGTCATCACACCAGGGACCACTTGTGGCTCCCAGGGCGCCTGGAGCATGTCTACCAAACCCAAAACTCACTGCCATCAAGGGGATGCTGGCTCAGTGACCCTGGAGGACACAAGGTAGAACTGCCTTGGGTTTCCCAGAGTGAGTTTCCCAGAGTGCAACTCTTTACTGGAGTAGAAAGCCCCATCTTTCTCCCTTGGAGCAGCTGTTAGTTTTGAACTGCTGACCTTGCAATTAGCAGGTCAACCAGTAAGCACTACACCACAAGGGCCCGCATACAAGGGTCTGGTAATAGCATGTGTGGGGGGTTATCTAGACTCTACACTTTTCCCAAAGTGGGCCAAACAGCCCCTGGGGGCGCTGGAATGATCCAGGGGGCTGCCAAAGCCCTGCCTACCCTTTTACCTAGAAACGGGTATAATATAAATATTAATTGCCAGAGGTGCTGAGTAGGTTTGTTTTGTTTTCCTGAAAACAGGTAGGCCAGATATGCTTTAAGAGCAGTGGGTCTCAACCTTCCTAATGCCACGACCCTTTCATACAGTTCCTCATATGGTGGGGACCTCCCAATCATAACATTATTTTCTTCGCTACTTCATCACTGTCATTCTGCTACAGTTATGAATCGGGCGACCCCCAAAGGGGTCGAGACCCACAAGTTGAGAACCGCTGCTCTAGAGAGTCAGCATCTGTTTGGGGGTATCAGACAGGGGCTGTATTTGGTTGTCAGGTATATGTTCGGGCTCTCTGAAAGCCCCTGTATAGAATCTCTAATGTTTCTGAGTACCTGAAAGCTTGTTGGGGGCATCTGCAACCATCTCCCATTCCGGGTATCTTGCAGGCTTAGAATCTTGCAGATTCTGAGCCTTAGTTTCAGGGTTATTTGCCGCCACCTGTCAGGCTGTCTGGTATGTGTTTGGGAGTATCCCACGGTTCCTATGATGGGGGTATCTAGGCCCACCTAAGAGGGACCTGACTCTGTTTTCCGCAGCCCCGCCTCGCAGCCCCAGTCCTGCCCTGGGCTACCCCGCTGACTCGCCCAGCTTCCCCCGACCCCGCTGACCCTCCCTTCTCAAGGACCTCCAAGCCCGCTGACTCACGCCGGCGCCCGCGGACACCTTGAAATTTCTCCTCCAGCTCCCACTCCCCGCCACTAGCCCCAGGGAAAGCCGCGGCTCCGCCCCCTGGGGTGGGGGTCCAGCCTCCGCAAAGTCCGAGGTTCCAGGAGCGTCCCTGGAGCCCCGCCCCTCAACAAGCCCCGCCCCGGCCACACCCTCGGGCCGGCTCGGGGGCGGGGCGGCGCCTGCGCACTCCGCCCCGCGCGGCTTCCCGCTTCCGGCTCCGCTCGTAGGACTGCGGTGG